CCGGGCCCGGATCATTTGAATCTGCGGAAGGGGCGACCGCCTCCCCCTCGAAAGGGCTGCTTGCCCTGCTGCTGGCCCCTGAATCTGTCCCTGTGGAACTGTCTATCCCCATGCCTGTGGAACCTGGGGTTCTGGTACCTCTGGCTTTGGTTGTCCCCGTCGGGTGGTCTGTACGGGGATCCTCCTGGAGTATGGCGCGTGGCGGAAGTCCGAACGCTTGGCTGTTGTCGGCAGAACCTTCCGCTTGTTCTTGTCCTCCACAAGGAGGGGGTCCAGCGCCGTCCCAAATAGCTTCTCCCTGGTGTAGTCTGCCCCCATCAGGTACCACTTCATCCGGGATTCCGCCTGCCAGTGGCGTAGCCAGAGAAGGCGCCTAGAAGCGACTGAAGAAGACATAGCGCGGGATGCATACTTTACCGCATCCAGGGTGGCGTCCGCTGAAAACTGGGTTGCCACCAGCATCTTGGATATATCCTGCAGTAGGCGGACCTCTGAAGCCGGAGTCCTGTCTCTCAGCTGCTCCAACCATAGGACCATGGACCTGTTAAAGAAAGAAGCAGAGCCGGCCGCCCTGATGGCCCAGGTGATGGCCTGGAACATCTTGCGCAGGATGATGTCTGCCTTCTTATCCTCCGGCTTCAGGCAGTTGGCCGTGTCACCTGCGACAACCGCTGAGGCTGATGCCAGGGTGACCACCGGATTGTCCACTTCCGGAACCTGGAGAGCCTGGGCAAAAGTCTGTTTGAGATTGTAAAATTTTCTCTCATTTGCCCCTGGGGTGGGGAAAGACCCTGATTTGACCCACTGCGATTTGAGTACCTCCATGAACATTTCAGGCGTGGAAATCTCCTCCTTAGCCAAAGGAGGCCTGTGGAAGGGGCCCTTTTTCTTCTTGCTCTTACCTTTGCCAGAAGACTCAGCTGCGGGCTTAGGATCCAGGGGTGGATCTATGTCCGCTGTGGCGGCTGCAAGGAGCCGCCACAGCAAGGAGCTGAATAAGGAGGGGGGGAAAGGCCCGCCACAGTGGAATCATCCTCTACCTGGGGGTCCTCATCCTCTGAAAATCCCACCTCCTTCAATTCTCCCTCTTCCAGGTCGGATGCCTCACTAGCTGTGGAGGGAGAGGGAGACCTGGCTTCTCTGGTAGCCAAGGTGCTGGGGCGATCAGTCTGCCCCCTGGGAGGATCCTGTGTGGGCCTGCTCCTGGAGGTTTGGGGCTGCTGATTTAAGCTGGATGCCATTACCTGGGCGAAGGCCCTAGCTAGCATATCTTGGAAGCTGTTGGGGAGATCAGGCAGGGCAGGCTGGAGCTGTGGAGGCTGGGAATAATCTCTGGGCTCCAGAGATAGAGGGGCCAAGCGAGGCCTCGCTGGGCTGGGAGCCCTGCACCCAAAGGGGTCCACTCTCGACTCCGCTGGGGGGGGCAGCGGAAGGGGTGGGCGAAAGGGAGCTGTGCCCTCTATGGGAGCCCCGCGGAGAGGCTGGAGAAGTTGCCCGGGCCTCAGCCCGAGCAGGAGGCTTGCGGGGAGATCGTGATCTGGAGGGAGAAGGGCTGATGGTGGCCCTGAAGTCCCTGGCCGAGGCCCTGGTTGATCTTGCTTTCTTAGGGGCCCTGGCCTTGTCCCTCCTCACTGGGGATCTCCCTCTGGGAACTGGGGAAATAGCCCTGGATGACCCTTCCTCCGGGTCCACACCCCCTGGGGCTCTGGACCTGGTGCCTCTGCTTCTTGTCGCCTCCACCATTACTCACAGTTAGAAGATCACCACCTCCTCCTCTCTGCAGCCGGCTGTAAAAGTAGATTCTGCCTCTCGAGGCTTGAATCCACTCCTTTCTTCCTCGTGAGGCTTGTGGCTTCAGCTGCCGGCA